GATCTCCAATTAGTGACCTCAATTCATATAGCTTCAGGAAGTCTAGTTCTGATCCTGTTACTTGTTTGGGAATTGTTCTGTACTTGTATAGGAATAGCTTCTGTTGTTAGGATAAGTTCAGAATCACTGCCTTGGCACTCAGTGTTCTTTGTACTCAGTTCTGGCTCAGCCCTCCTTTTTTTTTTTTATTTTATCATATTATGGGGGTACAAATATTGTTAGAGTTACATATATTGCCCCTGCCATTCCTCCCCCGACCCCCTGCCTTACCAAAACATCAAGCGTGTCCTACCCCCAGGTGGTGCGCATCGCACCTGTTTTGTAAGTATAAATTCTTCCCCACCTCCCCCTCCTTCCTCCTCCCATCTGCCCACCACCTGATAAAAGTTTGTTTGTTTTTTCTATTTTTGACCTTTGGGCTACATTGTATCTCTTTGCCTTTCCCTAGGAAGGGTTAGAGGTATTCCCACCCCCCAATGCTCACCACAACCCTAAGATGTGTATTTCCCCCTCCCCCAAACCCTGGTGGGCACTATCACCCTTTGAGCCCATAGTTTTAATCAGTCAGTACCAATTTGATGGCGAGTAGATGTGGAGCCCGTTTTCTTGATCTTGTGTCATCTCACTTTGGATAACGGGCTTAAGCTTAATGCAGGATAGCATAAATGGTGCTAGCTCATTGTCATTTCTTAGAATTGAGTAGTATTCCATTGTGAGCATATATCAAATTTTAATTATCCACTTGTGAATTGACGGACATTTGGGTTGTTTCCATGATCTTGCAATAGTGAATTGTGCTGCTGTAAACATTCGGGTGCAGATGTCTTTATAGTAGAATGTCTTATGCTCTTTTGGGTAGATGCCCAACAATGCTATTGCTGGGTCAAATGGTATTTCTATATCTAGCTGTTTGAGGTATCTCCAAATTCTTTTCCACAGAGGTTGCACTAATTTTCAGTCCCACCAGCAATGTAGGAGTGTTCCCATCTCTCCACATCCTCGCCAGCATTTGTTGTTTTGGGATTTCTTGATACAAGCCATTCTCACTGGTGTTAGATGGTATCTCATTGTGGTTTTGGTTTGCATTTCTCTGATGATTAGAGATGCTGATCATTTTTTAATATGTTTGCAGGCCATATAATATATCATCAGCAAAGACTGAGAGTTTGATCTCGTCTGCCCCCACTTGGATGTCCCTTAATACCCTTCTTCGTCTGATTGCTATAGCTAGGACTTCGAGTACTATGTTGAATAGAAGAGGAGGACAGTGGGCATCCTTGTCTAGTTCTAGATCGAAGTGGAATGATTTCAGTTTTTCCCATTAGTGAGGATGATATTGGCAGCGGTTTGTCATAAATGGATTTGATAAGTTTAAGCATATGAACCATCTATGCCTATTTTGTTAAGCAGTTTTACATAAAGGTGTGTTGGACTTTATCAATGTTTTTTCTGCATCTATTGC